TTACACACAGCAACATGAAGCTGCACCAAGCAGACTGGCGGCAGATATCCTTCTGCTGAATGAGTGGATGAATGAACAGTGAGTTGTGTTGATTCTGTGAACACTGACATGTGCAGGGGGAGGAGAGGACAGTGAGGAGGTGGGGTCAAGACGAGGAGGAGAAGGAGGAGGTTCATGTGATTGGCCTTGACCATCTCCAGCTGAACTCCGAACTCTGAGGAGCTCCTGCCTACACACAACACACACACACACACACACACATACACACAAGTGTGTGTTTGTTGTGCGTGTGTGTGCAAGACAGAGAAATGTGAAGACTCTGCACATTATACTGGCCATTACAGACTCTCACTGCTACACATAAACGGTATTGTTCGTCAAGTGGACTAAGAATTTCATTTAGAAGGTTTTGAATATTCTTAGCTAACCTTTAGCCATCCCTTTGGACCAACAGCAATCACATCCCCTCAACTCTGTATAAGCAGTCTGAACACGAGTGCACAAATTGCCACAAAGCCCAGCTTAACAAGTTTTTCAGTCAACTTTAGGCTGGTTAGTTTGCCAACTAACTTTAGGATGCTTTAGTGTTGGGTTAGATATCAAAACACAAGGTCTGAAATAGCTGCAAATAAAACGTGGACAAATTTGACAAACAAAAAACAAAATAAATAAATAATGATAATAAAATGTATGAGGAAAGAGACAAAACACTTGTTATACATTCACCTTTGTTGTCAGAAATAAACAGCATTTTATCTTTTCCGCCTTTGTTAGCAGACTTATATATAGCTCCTGGTTAGCATTTAGCTAATTTTTTACATATTTTACCATCGAACACCTGCTGTATAAAGGTGTACCTCAGGGTAAGAACACTTTAAAAATACAGTTCAATTTTTTATTTTGAATAAGAACACTAAATACAGTTCAATTTTTTATTTTGAATTTCTCTTGCAGATCAGCACCAATAAACACCAAGCTATCATTCTCCTAATTTCTGCAGTTCTACTTAGTAACTAGCTAACTAACTACTACTGCTAAACCTTGTCTGGACTTTTTTCTAACTATCACCATAACTTCTCATAATTTTTATCACTTATTCTACCCAATGATTTACTTTATGTTTTTACATTCATTTTGCAAATTAGCAGCTCGTGGCGTCCCGGTCATTCATGTGCATCGTTCGTTGGTGCAACGTAACAACTTTGCTACTGAGAGGACGACCACGCCGAAGGTCAGGATCTGTGTCCATCTCGCTGCCCCTCTGCTTTTCCCTCTTGTCCGTTTGTGCACAAGAATCTTTTGTTTACGACGGACATGAAAGGGACAAAAGCCACCATTGAAAAATAGGAGTGAGGAAAAGAGAGAGAAGTGTGTGTGTGTGTGTGTGTGTGTTTCTACTGTGTTGTTCTTGATGAGGTGAGGGGGCAGAGGAGAGAGAGAAGAATTGGTTTTAGGGGAGAAGACGAGAGCCAGAGAGAAAGAGAGGGAGTCAGGCATCGGGTGACAAAAAAACGGAGAGAAATAGGAAGAAAGGTGGAGAGGGAAGAGGTTTTCGAAGCCAGGCCAGCAGGGACAAAAGACGGTCATTAGTATTCCAGAGGGGACAGTAATCCCTGTCCAGCGTCCACAGCCATAGCGCTGAAAAGACTCTTACTGGGCTTCAACACATCGCACTGAAAGGACTTTCTTAACATCCAGAGCCCGGTCCATGCCAGTCCGGCGGCTGCTGGGCCAACACGACGCCGTAGGAAAACGACACACTATACTGGACTCAAACTGTGGGTCAGACACACTAAGTTACCGCTGAGCCACAGCTTCAGTGAAAGGTTTCATGAAGAGGGAACTTCCTCTGCTGTGATCTGACAGTGAAGAGTCAATAACTCCAGAGTCCAAGTGCTGGACAGATTTGTCTGACTTGTAGCCCACAGATAGCTAAAATGTGGTTAGCCAAACTATACAGCTACACAAACAGAACCGTTGGTACATTCAAGAAGAAAAAAACAAAACCTCCGACTGGACACACGCCAGTCTAACTAACAACTAAAAACCCCATTGTCCAAACTTTTTGTTCAAGGTGGAGGTGTCCTTAAAGTACAAGAGAAACATCACACAAGAAAAAGAAATTCTGTAAGCGTTACTGGCCTGCCTGTGGTCCAGATCTGTTTCTTATTGAAAATAAAAAGGTCTTTCATTAGCAAATAGAAAGAGCTAACGTGTAACCGACCGTGTTACAGGCAGTGTTATACAGAATATATGTACAGTTTTTATTTTATTTTATTTAGTGGGTGTGGCTTATATTCAGGTGCACCCAATAGTCTGGAAATGACCGTATTTCCTGGTTCACTAAAACCTTTGAGCCAACTTGCTGTTAATTTTCAACCACTCCTTTCAAAACATTTGACAAACGCTTTTGATTGACAGCTGACGAAGTGAGACGACAAAGAGCAGTAGAGTAGTTCAGAGTAGAGTCCCTGTGATTTGGCTGCTGCCGCCTCATCCTTTACTCCAACGCTGACACCATAGTAGCAACAACAGGAAGTCAGAATTCAGTCCGAAAAGAGCCGTAACCACGGCGACTGATCATTTGTCTCGATGCCCCTTTGTGTCCACGACCTCGGTCTAAAGCTAATACTTCCTAAACCTCTTCCTGGGCCGAGGATTTATTAGGAAGACTTACAGCATGGACCTGGGTTGAACAACAGCGAGCAGCTGTCCAACGCTGACGGCCGTGACTTACTTCAACACACTTCTTTCAAGTGAGAAGCAGCCAATGGTCTGGTTTCTCTGCTGCAAAACAAACAGATTATCAACTACTGTTTTGGTGCAGGGGCCAGAACTGATTTGTCCTCATTGAGGAAAAATGTGTCTGGTTCAGGACTGTACGCACTATTTTATATGACCAGATCTGGAACTCATATGGGCTACATCTGTGCCAAAATTTAAGTGGGAAATATCCAGCTGGCAGACACTGAAATGTGTTGTGGCACAGGTGAATTTAACACAAGTAGCCCATGGGTTAGTTTCAGTTAATTATACAAATACAGTCTACACAAACAATTCCAGAAGTTCAACCATACATAGTTAAAAGTTCAATAAAATATCACAAGAGATTTCCAGACAAGTTTTTTACACAAACTAAACCTAACCTCAGGCAGGAATTCACTAAAATATGAATGATAATAGCCAAAAGATTTACGAAAGAATTTAAAACATCACATATTTGCTAAGGAAATCAACTGAAAGGTAAGGATTAGCCAATAACAACAAATTAATACACAAGTTCATTTAAGTCAAACCTAAAATGGAAATGCTATAAAAAACAACAACAAATGCATCTCAAATCTTGACATAAAATATTAAATTCAATGACCAAGTACTAAACGGTTAGCCAAAAGCCAAAATACAATTAAATGCTAGCCACCAAAATGGTCAAAATAACAGAATAGCTTGAATTGGCGCCAAATCCTTAAAATATAAACAAGACACAGAATTAATCAATGATCATTTAAGGTGTCGTGTTTATAGTTGAGGACTTCCAAAAAACCAAAACAGAGATACCAATATGTTCAATTAGCTATTAATATTTACAAAACATTAAGAACATATAGCTGAGAGTTAGCTTAAACAGCTAAAGGTTAGCTTAAACAAGTTAAAGACAACCTTTAAGAAAAACACAGTACAACTACAATAACTATAACTTATAAACCATTGTGTGAGTATAGTAAGTATAGTTAACGAATGTTCAGACTTTGTATTATTTGACTTTCTTACCTTTTTGTCAACCACAGCTTGGAAACGTTAGGATTAGACTAATCTTTTTGTTTAGTCGACATTTAAAAAGGAGGATTTTTGGTCTTGATTCACAAAAAAAAACAAAAAAACTTTAAACCAAAAGAAGAAGGCAGCTATTTTTCTTCAACATCACATCGTTGTCTTCTCTAACAAGAAGTTTTTTTTTTAAATGTAGGAGTAGAAAACGAGACGTTCTGGATGAGGATCAGCCAGCATTCAGCGGTGCGTGGGTCGCTCAGTGTCTCCCAGGACACTGGCACTGTTGGTACCGATTCTGGCTCCTCTGTTAGTGGAGCATTGTGGTCAGATGATCAGCACAGTCTGGACTCTTCTTCTTCTGCTTCATCCTCTCCAGTGTCTGCGTCTGAAGTTAAAGTAGCCGGTGCCGTTCACTCCTCCAGGAGCCGCCCCCTCCTCCCCACAACTCCTGGCACTCCACACTTTATAACTATTCACGTTTTTAATTCATTAATTCCACTCTCCTCCCAGTGTCACCTCCCTCTCTCCCCCCCCTATCACCCCTCCTGTCCCCCAGCCCGTACTGTATAAATGGGCCTCTTTGTTGCCAGGCCTCCTCCGCTGTTTCAGCCTTTGTCAACTTTCTCATGTCAGTGTTTGATGCTCAGGAGATACAGGCCTTGAACGGAGGCATTTACAAAAACACAGAAATTACTGTTTATGTTTTTGGTTTGTTTCATTTTTTTACACTGGTTCCACGCAGCTATTCTGCAGCAGCCAAGTCTGAGCTGAATGAACGACAGCACTGAATCCACAATACTATACCATACTATACTATACTATACTATACTATACTATACTATACTATACTATACTATACTATACTATACTATACTATACTATACTATACTATACTATACTATACTATACTATACTATACTATACTATACTATACTATACTATACTATACTATACTATACTATACTATACTGCATCAGAATGTGCGTTGTTGCAGCTACATGAATAATTTGGGAAAAGCAGAAAACAATGCAAAATAGTATTTGCGTAACATACATATTTCAGGACTAATTTTTGGCTATCTTGAGCTAAGATTTAGTCTAATATTAACTTCTATAGCAAGCCTTATGCTACTCTGGGGGTGTGAATATATTTTACAGTCTGATTTAATTTCTAACTACATTTAAAGTGTTTCAGACCAACTCTTTTAGAAAAGTCCATTGCTATGGTATTTTTGACCATTATTAGGCTGCATAGCAGTCAACACGAGTTGAAATTTAGTAACTTAGTAAATGTTGCCTGTGTTGGATCTTAATTCAATGTGTTTTTGTATTACTTTTTATGGTAGCTTTATATACTTTAAAGGGCAAATTCAGATAATTAATGCGTTTCCATCAGCCAACATTAGGCTCTGAGCCAAGTATCACAACAAAGGTAAAAATGAATTACACAGCCACACAGTGTGATGTCATTGGTGTTATTCAACGTCTCCACCAATCAAATGTGAGCTAACATTTACACCAAAGTCAGTGGAGAGTGCCTGTTGTTTGCGTTAACCAATAATATCCCGGCTTTCACCTTTGATCTGACAGCAGTTGAATTTACCTCACGTCCTAATGAGAGTCGACTTTCAGGAATCTCACAAGCAGAGACCACCACCACAATGAAAACCAGGGCCCCTGGAGCCACATGTGGCCCCGCTGTTTTCACACGCACATCAATCTGGGGGGGCCCTACAAGCTGCCAGGTGGTGTTGTTCCCCTTACAGTACCCCCTCGCCGCGGCCTTGCAGTTCTGGGGCCCTAACTTTGAGGTCCGTGGTTTCCTGGGTCAGAAGATTCACCTTGAACAATCTTGTAGAAAACAACAAGGTTGAACTTGACAGCGTTCTTTCATTAAACCCTCTGGAATTCTGGGTAATAAGGGCTGGTAACTCCGGACTGCTGTGTTTTTGTCATTGGATTTTTACTACAGGAAGTTGTTTGGGCCGAAAAGGTTTGGCAGGTGAAGGATCGTAGTGTCGCTGAAAAAGATGATCTAAATGGTGGAGTCAGTCGGTTGGCTATTGACTTGTTCCTGATTGGTTCTCTTGTTGGTTGTTGGCTAATTGGTTGATTGGTTTGGACAGGCGTCCGGGGGGCATACGATGTAAATGCCCAAGCCACTTCATCTGACTCCTCTTGATGTAGAGGAGCAGCAGCTCTCCTCCCAGCTCCTCTCGGGTGACAGAGCGCCTCACCCTATCGCTAAGGGCCACCCTGCGAAGAAAGCTCATTTCAGTTACTTCAGATCTTGTTCTTTGGTCATGACCCAAAGTTGATGACCAAAGGTCATTTATCACTGATGGATTTATGGGTCATTTGGCTGCTTGGTGGATTGGTTCCTCTGGATTTCTTGGGTTAATTTCTCAGTCGATGGTTTCATTGGTCACTAAGTTGTTTCATTTATGATGGCTGTTTGGCAGCTTGGTGGGTTGTTTTGGTTGATAGTTTGATGCTGGAGTGCCTGAGCTGCCCTCATTTATGTTCTCAGCTGCATCTCCTGGTTAGTTCCACTCCGATTGACTGGTTAATTCCATGGTTGGTTGGTTGTTGGTTTGCTTCACTGTGTATGTGTCGGACTGATGGCGTGAAATGACATTATCCCAAAACAAAGAGAAACCAAGACACTGCTCTGCTGATGGCAGACTGACAAGCTGAAAGAAAACTGTCACAAACACAGATGAGGTAGGTGTGATATTTTTATACTGTACATCTGTCCTTGTTGAGCTGTCTCCCCCAGACTGTCCCACCCACCCACAGACACCACATGCACACCATCCTGGTTTCTACCTTATGACTTTCACATCCTTAGGTGTGTGTGTGTGTGTGTGTGTGTGTGGGAGGGGAAAGGTGTGTGCTTCAACTCTTCAGTAAATGTTTGATGCCGCATCATTAGAATGGATTGTTTGGTCTGGATTTTCCATTTACAAGTGGGGATTACCACCACGTCGACTGTAATGCAAATGTTATTGTTCAAATGTTCCAAAAACTAATTACGTAACTGATGATCAGACGCGGTTGTAGTTGGACTAACTTTTGTCGCCATCTGCTGGCCAAGTGATATTCTCCCTTTGTAAAGACAGTTAAATTTAAAAGTTATGTAATGTGTGAAGTCACGAGTAATCCGGTCCCAGGCCATGAAATGTGGCACGACGGTAATATTCGAGTGGGAGGATTCGAGCCACGTTAGCACTGTAGGTCAGGAGGTGAGAGCAGCGGTGCAGTGGAGTTGGAGGACTGTGGACGGAATTAAACATTTAGGACAAAGCGTCTCCCAAACACAGTACTCCACAAATCACAGGAATGAGGCAGTTGTAATTGCATCGTATTTGCATCGCCATGGACATGTGTAGAACTCACAAAGGCCACTAGGTGGTAGGGTTGCAACGGAAACAACGTGTTCAAAATAATATTCGAATAGAATATATTAATACTAGTTATGAACCGTACCATACCAGGTATTAGCAGTGATTAGTGTGGGTGCAGGTGGCACTCTGAGGCCATCAGAGGGCATCTCTGCTCAGACAAAACTCAGACTGTTCATGAAATATATTATAGTTTTTAGATAAGAAGTATTTTTAAATATAACAAAAACACGAGCAGAGGAAAAAGGAAACAATTATATTGTGAGGTAAACACATCACATTTTATGTAATATAAAATCAATTGTACCCACCAACTAAACTCAGGAAAGGTTTTTATTTATTTCAAACTGCTAGTATTCTATTGACGTCAGATTACAAGGCTTTGACATTTTCCAGTGACCATCTGTGTCAACACACATCAGAAATTAAAGCGAGGGAGGGTAATATTGATAATGACCATAAGGTCAATGGCGCCTCCTGTGGCAGCCTTTGTTGGTTGCAAAGACTCAGACTGTTAATTTCCCCACTGTGGGTTAATTCTGTATTATTAAGGTCACAAGATACTACGTAAGAACAGAATTATGAAAATAATGTGAGTCACACTGATGTTCTCTTTCAGACTCAGAAAGTCTGTGGGGAAAAAGGAAGGGAAACCGAACGGTTGACAACAGACCTGCAGTGGTGCAGATGGGAGTTTTGAGCTGGGGGGTTGACAGCTGTCAGTAAATGATTTCAACTCAGTGAGTTATTTTTGGTGTAAATTTGGGCTTTAACTAGTGCTTAAGTACAAGGCCTATGGGTCAAAGGTGAGCAACAAAAAAGCAATTGGAGAATTCTTATTTGAAGGCATGGTTGTTTGTGTATGAACTGCAGTGCAAACAATAACATATATATACATGAATAAAATTCGGAGGGGGGGGGGGTTCTGATTGAAATTCCAACATCGCCGTACAACTTGAACGCACGTTTTGCACAAAAAACACGTTTTAGCATACCAAAACATTTAGACCAAAACATCTCGACCACATTTTATAACATAGGCCACTGATTGAAACCCAGACTAAATTGCCTGCAGGCATTTCTGATTCACCTTGTTTTCATCTACTGTGCTGCAGTGTCTAAAAACAGCTCATCTCATTTCAACCTCCACAAAATTGAGTCACGTTCTCACCACATTGACTCATATTAGGACATGACCCACTACAGTAGGTAGTTACCATTTAGAAATACCTGTTTTTAGACTAAGACTCTAGACTAGACTACTAACATTCCTTAACCGGTTTCCTGTCTGTTATTAAACAATAAGAAAATATGGCTCTACTTTACAGGTGAATAAATCTGAGGTAACACCACATCATTGTTCACACCAGCAGTTATTTCAGTCAGCCCAATAATCCAAAACAGTGTGTGTTGGGTTAAGCCAATCCTTCTGGTGTTTAGTGTCTATTCAGTTGAATTAACTTCTGACGGCGTTAAACCTCGGCAACTCAATCAGGTCCATATTGCCTTAAATCCTTAAATCCTGAGAAGCAGTTTCTGCTCCTAAGTAAATAACTCTGTTCCACAGCACATGGGTTTTGTCACGGAGGTATAAAACTCATGTTTTTCCGTACAGGTTTCTATTTACTGCATGGAATAATGTAGAGACAGTTGAAAGAATGAAGGCTTTATTTCCAGTTCCGGAAAGGCAGTTTTTTCTTTTTTTTTTGCCGTCAGCATCATATTGAACTAAGATGTCTGTTGAGAGCTAATAATAAGAAACTGAATTATTGAGTCCCCCAGAGATCTGTCCTTGGCCCCATTCTATTCTGTGCTACAGTACAGTGTGTGTAGACTGTGTTGTATGTTCTGGTAGTAGTATGAACCTCACTACTGACCAACTGCTCCTGGGTTATAACATCAGAGTATGAAGGAATAATTAGCATACTTCATTTGGACGCAGCCCAACGTTGGGAGGTGGCCGCTGTCACCCATGGCTGACCAATGCTTGATGGGATACAATGGAGTCCAGAGAGTGGACACACACAGATCTGCATGGACAAACAGTAAGTGTGGGTCAGTGTTTGTTACATAATGAGTGTTTGTACAAACACAAAACCAAGTGCATTAAAAGAAAACAGTGCACAGTGAGGATATCGTTAGCTATTTTTGCTTTAGCTTTTCCATAGGTTCATACACAAAACCACTGAAATCTAACAAAAAAGATAAACACAACTGAATAAAGAATAAAGCTATGAATAGGAAAGACAATTTCATTCATCCTTACTGGTGCCAAGGATGTTCAATGTTCACTTTCTCACATATTATTGTCTCAGAAATACTGTCGCCGGCCAACTGCTTTTTGTTGATCCAAATCAGTAGTAACTTTTCTTCACACTCAGCTAGTGATCACTTGCTGCCCAATATTGTTGGCTTGTTCGGTAACCGAGTTATGGTACGTCGACCAGGGTCTTTGTTTTTGGTTAAAAATATTACTAGTACAGAAGCCTCTGTGGAGGTTTTTTCACTCAGACTTGGTAAAAGGAAAGGTTGACTCTACAGAACACAGCAGCATGGAAAAAGCAGCATCAATCATCAGAATTTCAAGGAAATTGTAGAGGTTTCAAGACCTTTTTCAACTTCAACCTTCTGCTAATTTGTGTAAGAAATGGGAATCATACTGTGAATCACGCTGCGGCACATGATTTCTGCTGTTGCAACGTCATTGTAGTAACCCGGTTCTCTGGGTAGAAACGTCTGGGTTCATGCATTCAGCCGGTGTACTTTACTGTCAGTGTCTCATGAACAGAGCACATCAGGAGTGCTGTGAACACATGATCAGGTTTTCACATGCAGCCACAATGTTCTGTCAGGCCAATGTCTGCCTGTGCGACATGTTCCACACACAACTGTTCATGTGACACAGCTGAGCCCGGTCACAGATAGACTCCTAAAGTAAAAACAGTCTGATGGTGTTTTGATAACATACTTTGAAGGTTTTTACAATTTTTGTTTTTGTTTTCCGTTTCTTTCTCTTTTTTTTGCTAACTTTTAGCTATATAATTTACTTTTTAAAATGTATCTGTCTGGTGAAAAAAAAAATCAAGCTAGTTTCATTTAAAATAAAATGATGACATTTGCCCTTATTGTAATATTAATATCCAGATTTTTACCATTTTATATGTATTTGCTACAACTGGTCATCATAGTCCAGTCAGAAATCTCTGGTAACATTTTCCTTTTTAAAACATTTTTGAGCTAACCTAAAGTTTTCTTTAGGTTAATTTAGCCTAAATGCTACCTGTTTAAAATGATCATAGTATATTATTTAACTCTCTTTTCTGCTTTTACCTTTTATATTTTTCTGAGCATTGTGCGTCCCAACATGGCCTCTGCTCTAAAAGCACAACCTTTGGATTTCTGTGGTCCTCAGTCACATGTTTACTTTCCCACTGTTATCTCTGCTTAGATAAGCTATGATAGAAAGGTCATACATTATAAGTGTCTGAGATTTGATAAACAAAAACACTGACAAAATATATGATATATAAATATGTATATAGTATATTCATTCACTTGGCTAACTATGCAGCTAACTTGGCTAACTATGCAGCTAACTTGGCTAACTATGCAGCCCATTTTCTGGGGGCTTCAAGTTTTTCTTTTTTTTGTGTTTGTTTAGTTTTTTAATACCAAGCTTTTTTTCTACATCTTGCTAACTTTACAGCATATTAGCAATATTATTATCAATTACGACCCACTCTGATGCATCCTTTTTGACTATCTTCATGTATTTATTTATTTAGGAAGTCAAAGTGATTCATTTGTTATTGTAACACAGCACACCACTGCACACGAAATGTGGCCTCTGCACTTAACCCCCAAAAAAGAAAGACTCTGAGAGCACTGCTCAAGATATGCAAGTATGTATTTCATCAATTTCTGTAAGTATACAGTATAATGGTTGTGTTCAACTAAACAGGCCAATGTCTAAGTACATTTTGCATAAACGGAAGATCATTATATATCATTACATATCATGACATGTTGGTGCGCTGTGTGATTGTTCTTGTTTAAAATACATCAGAAAAGGTTGGGAAACACTGGTTCAGGGCTTATTTCAAGTTAGGAAAATATGTTTTCATCATTTGTCAAGTTATCGTTTATTTTACTGTTGCACTCTTTTTATTTAACCCCTTCATTCTGATTTTATTCTGATCTTACGTAACATGGGAGGAATGTGTCCTGTGACTGCAGCTCTAATACACTTATGGTATTTGACACACTGTATAAAAGTACAGACACTACGGGCCTGACCCACTTACTGATTTACAACCTGTATTTAAGCTTTCTGGAACAGACTGAGTTGTACCAGGACAGTAAAGGCTTAGTGGATGTTCAGGGTTTTTAAGATGACAAGGTTAACTGACTTTAAACAGAACTGTATCACCTCCACTGAACCCAAAAGGGAAACTTTATATGAAACAAATGAACTTTTACACAAGTGGCTTGGCTGAGGTGGGGACGGACCAGAGATTCAACCACTCACTGAGCCAAAAAAAATGGAGAAAAAAAAACAGAAAAATTGAGCTGATTTTAGCACAAAATAACTAACTTTTAGATAAACTGGACAATACCAAAACCACGAAATAATAATTTAAAAAAATGATGTCAAATAATAAACAATTCAGTTTACTTCAGAATTTTGTGCATTTGTTTTGTTGTAGTTAAACTGAAAATGTTGAAAAAAGAATCCAGGGGTAAAATTCCACACTATTGCTTACATTTCGCCCTAGCTGTAGAAGGAATTTGAATGTAAATGTAACCATGGTCTGCTGCCCCCTAATGTAGGAAACACAGCCTTGAAGAAATGTTATCACTGAAGTGTCCAACATCCACTCTTCATCATGAAGATGTAGCTACTGTTCCATGGGCGCTACTGTTGGTAGCTAGCTAAGGTGCCCACGGGGTATGTTCTAAAAATAAAAGTTGTCAACAAGAGGGTCAACAATTGTTACTGTTACTGTGCTTTTTAAAATCAATCAGTCAATCAATCAATCAACACTTGGGGTGATATTCAAATGGGTGCAAAGACGATGGTAAAAAGAATGTCTAGTATTGAACATCGCAGTACTTATTATCTTACATTGTTCAGGAAGTCCGTATCAACGTAGCTCTTTTTATTACTAAGTGTCCTTGAAGTAACTCTCAGTTTCAAAACGGTTGGTGACCCCTGATTAAACCACTACTTTATTGTTGTTTGTGGAATTTGGCTTTCAGTCTATTCCGGGGCCATTAGGGTGAGAAGGGGCTGGCTGAAGTGCAGCTGAGCATCTGCAAACTTCCCAGGATTTAGGACCACAGAGGAAAACACAACAACTGGATCTGACCCTCTCTGTGACCTCAGAGGCATTGCCTCCGCTGACTCCACTGACCTGAGAGTCTGAGGGTGAACGAGTCCAATAAACTGTTGGCTCTTTAAAAGAAATGGGTCAAAAACTCCATAACAGGAAGACAGACAGACAGTTGATGATAATTGACTGACCTTCAGGACAGAGGTGGTTGTTGACACTGCAGAAGTAGTACAGAGTGTGAGCTCAGAACACACACACACACACACACCTCATCAGCAGTGGGCCTCACAGGTGTCACGGTGCACAGCTGAGGTCACTGATTACACAGTCAAACTAACCACCTTCATACAGCTGTGGAGTTATACACACACAGGGTAGACTGAAGCAAGTAGAAAAGTCAAGAAGAACATGTCTAGATTAAAAAGTAGAAACAACATTAGCACAGGAAAGAGTTGATTAAAAAAAACCTTAATTTTATACACACACAGACATCATGACTATAGCAGTCGTCTACAGTGTTTACAGACCATCTTTGTTAATATAAACCAGGGGTCACCAACCGTCAGACATCCTAGGGGCAGACACACAAATAAAATAAAACAAAAATCAAATGTTGGCTAACAGAGTTTGAACATAGTCATAAATGCTGGGGATTACTGTAAGGTTCCATTAGGGGTCGGGGATGGGGGGGGGGGGGTCTTAAACATGGGCCACTTTCTGTAAAGTCACAAGGAAACAGGAAACAATCTATTGTTCCCTCAACATTCCACTCTGTTTTATAATCCACAGAGGTGCGATAGTGGTGCCATTGAGGAAATGACGAGGCAAAAATCAAGAGAAAAACAAGAGACACTAACAGACACGGCTCATATCATCATAAAAGTGTCACCTGAGTTGACTATATGTCATTCAAACAAGATTAAGCTGGCAGGTGGCTGCAGCCAATGCTACCTACTCATTGGTTGCAGCGAAAGGTGGTAAAAGGGGAGGAGCAAAGTGGGGTCACAGGATCAACAACTGCCAACAGTGTTATCAGGTAACGTTGACTTGTGCTAAAAGGGCCTAAACAGCAGGGTGGTGGGGAAAGTCAGTCAGCTGTCCCATTGGTGGGTTGAAGAATAACTTAAAATGGTAAATAAAGGTTTTAGAGCTTAAGTTTGTTAATGTAACTTAAAATGTTCTTAAGGTATAATTCCCCCAAAGACCTGTATCTGTAGCATTTGGAAGAAAATAATGTCCAGCAAATGTAGATGTAAGCAGTGAATGTGTATTATAATTCATAAGGCGGACACACATCACACCACACTGTGTGTTATCTGTCCTCATGTGTTGATGGACTTTAAAGAGTCCATGAGATGAGATCAATCCACAATACAATGATTGATTTTTTTATGACCAAATATAATGGCCATTTCTTTGCTAGCACAATACTGTTACCAACTGAAATGGTCTTGTCTTCCTCACAAACTGAAGTTGTTTTCTTAAATAACAGAATACAAAAATTCAAATTTCTCCCCATATTAAAAGTAAACGTTTTTTTTTTTTGTTTGTTTCTTTAAGTCGTTACGAGAAGTTAGCTAAGACGGTGGTAACTGTCTTTAAACGTTTGATACGTTATCGAGGTCACAGTCCATCGAGTGGTCCAGTGTGTTGACTTCAGGGTCATTACGTCGAACTTCCTGTCTTGGTAAGGCAGGGGTCACAGCCAGGTACAGTGTGAGACAGCGCTCAGTCATATCTAGGCTGATATTCCAGTGTGTGGTAACGTCCACGTTTGACGAATAAACTGAAAATCCAAAATGTCGCCACACTGCTTCTTTACAATTGCTTGGAGCATATTATCTGTCAGTGGCGCTTTGGCCCAGAGGCAATGTCTCTGTCATTGGTGTGGAACCCCAGGATTCACCTCCTGGGCAAGTTCGAATCCCGGTTAGGGCGGTTGGTACCTTCCAGTGGACTGACCACCTGCAGGAAGGTTTGGTACGGTGCAATGTGATTTGGGTGGAGACTGCTGCCCCCGCGACCCGGAAACGGATAAGCGGATGAAAATGGATGGATGGATGGATATTATCTGTCAATGTCTCTTCTTACCGCCGCCATACATTCCTACGCTGTGTTTGGACACTTGAATGTCACACAGGTCACACAGTGACGTGACGTCGTGGTTTAATAGCCGGCCACTCACAAGCGTACGGCTGCTTACTGTTCTGGAGAGTGTAGTCTCACTGACAAAAAAAAGTCAATACACAGTGACGTAGGACAACAGCCATATGTCCCTGTTCCTGACATAACCTCTGCGGCCAGTCTGAGTCAGCTGACCCATCGCTGCTGCTGCCACATCCATGGAGTCATGACCCAAGGTAATTGTTTAGGTTATACTTTGGTTCATTTGTAGCTATTCCAGCCGTACGTTTCCTGCCGTTACGGCTAAATTACAGCCGTTGTGACAATACGATATAATGCTACTTCTCTGTGACTTTTTATTTTTAACTCCAGGATTCGTTTTGAGTACTGTATTTGCTATTTTTGTTTAAAGCTATTCTGCCAACAGACTTTTAGTCATTTAGTCACATTCTTTTTTAACTGTTCTGGCTAACTCTTAAAAAAAAGGCCTTTTTAAAAGTCCCTTTAACCATCCTGAATGTTCTTTTCCAAAATGACAACTACAGTCAGCCGTGATCATGAATGTAACACCCACATGAATGATTAATAAAAATATTGTTTGCAGTAAGAGGTGCCACATGAAGGTCTGTGTCAGAGTAACTGATGTTAACACTGGTTTGTATATTAACTGGCAAGGACAGCAATGAAAAGGGCACAGTGTGCTTTGGATCAGAGACGGAACATAATGAACCAACCAGTGGTTTGTTAACATGTGGGAAGGAAAGCCATAAAGATAATAGTGTCAAATAGGCCGTCCATCCTGACTCATGCTGATGGTGAACCCTGTAGCTCTATCTTTTTACCACAGCTCCAACACACACAAAAAACTAAACAAAAACACAAGCGCGTGAGTGTTGATCAATAGCATTGGTTTGTGACGGCGGCCGTTTGTTGCTGCTGCTGCTGCTGACGTTTCCTGGGATCAGTGATGCAAGAGTAGAGACTGTGGACGCAAACAAGTTTGCCCTGACCTGTGTGTTTATTTAGACTTATCATTCTGCCCACAACAGAAGACATAAAAATGTATTGTTAAATTATATCATGTGCCAGTTTTTGATTTACAGCTGCAATAAAGAGCTATAGGCTGGGTGGCCTTCAGATATCTGAGAATATTAACACCACTCCGGAGAGTAATGATTAATGGCTGGAAACATAATAAGATTGTCGTTACCCAATCAGTGGCACACCTTAAGTAGAAGTACTTCTCATACCGATAACAAAATTGTTGTTGATTTTCATCTTTTTTAATGAGATTTAAGTCAACTACTGTATCAGCACTCACACTAAATACAATAAAACACTCATATTTAAAATCCTGACGCACAAAGAATGTATCAAAATTATCTTTTTTTTTTTTGCAGATGATACAACTCTTTATTCAGTTGTCGAGTCCATCAATAAATCTTTATGAATTTTAACTAGGCCTCAACTCTGTTTTAGGCCAAATATATGCATGATTGTGGCTGTAACGAGTTGATTTAGGAGTAATGACATTATAAGTGGAATTCCAAGTGACTGGTGTTAAACTGAAGTCACACAAGTTTGGTTCCAAACGTCATTCCGTAGTTACTGACAGTGATAGTTGCAGCAGCAGCTGCCAGGAATGTGACTTCCTCTTGTGGGGGGGGTGGAGGGGGGTCTCCCACGTGACTGAGGACGACCAGACCACATCATTCACTCATTTGTCATATTGTATTACACACGCCTGTGAAGGTGTGTCCAATCGACCAGTTGGGCTGCGGTATCCGCCTGCGTCATTCAAAGGAAGGTGGGGGGTATATGTGGGTGGGAGGGCAGTGTGTGATGCCTATAAAAATCCCAGGAGCTGCAGCCACTGTTCAGACGGAACTCTAGAATACTTGAACAGCAAAACAAACCAGAAACCAACTTTTTTTTTAAAAAAAAAAAAATTTAAACCAAACTTTTTTTTAAATTACTTTACTTACATTTTTTCATTTGACAAAGATTTTTGGAACCTTACTATTAAGTTTTAAGTTTTAAATCTTTTTCTTTTCTAAACCTATTTTCCTTGTCGTCCATCATGTTTTCAGAGACAAACAAAGGGTGAGTGCATTTTCAAAGAAATTATACTCTGGTAGTTGTTTGCCCCTGAACTGCTGAGCACATGGCATGTCCATTCAATGAAGGTTGCAGAAGTGAATGTTGGGCATGCAGCCAAGGCAAATGTACGCAGGCGCGTGAGAACAGCTGCAACAGCTTTACACTTTGTGTAAAGTGTGTCTTTTTTTAACGCTGGAGTCAATGGACAAATAGTAAATGGACTTTAGATGAGGGACACCATGTACTTATTTATACTTTAGTGTGTGTGAGTGTGTGTGTGTTCAGCCTGTGAAGGGAAGTGTTGGTGTGACTCATCTGGAATGCATGGCCCTTCAATGACATGTCCATATTAGTAGCCCTTCTCAAATTAGAAAATCAAACCAACATTAAAGGGACAAAAAGGAATCGTGCTGCACACTCTGCCGCCTCCTCCTAACTTCTCCACCATTTTCTCCACCACGCAGCTACACTTATGAGGAATGCAAGGCCACAGCCGATTGGCTGATGGCCCAAACGGACATACGACCCAGAATCGGCATCGTGTGCGGCTCGGGGCTCGGAGGGCTGGCTAACCTGTTGAAGGACCAGGTGGTCTTCAACTACAGGGACATACCCAACTTCCCCCAGAGCACCGGTAATTATATCACAGGCAGACAGACCCTGTCCACATCATCATCAGTCAGGTTGGGTTCATATATTTAACCACGTGTCTTTCTCTCTCCTGTAGTGCATGGTCATGCAGGACGGCTGGTGTTCGGCACACTGAAGGGTCGGCCGTGTGTTTGCATGCAGGGGCGATTCCACCTGTACGAGGGGTATCCAATACAGAAGGTGTGTTATTTTAATACTCTCTAGAAAATTACCTTTCCAGCAAGAAAGATGCCCTCTATGTTATACCACCAAAGACACTGTATATCTATTTAGCGTCAGTTCAAAACTACACACAAAAATACACACATTGTAGTCCTTATCTCAATTGCTGGATGGCTCATATCAATGTTACTTATTTTTAGGCCTCAATTTGTGAAGGCTACAAGAGTTATTGGATCACATGGATTCTGATTTGTTCAGGATCTAAAGTCCATATATGGACCGACTTCCAAAGATAGCCAACCACATTAGGCTGGAAGTTGTTCTTTGGCTAAAACGGTCAAAGGTTGTTTGACTCATGTATACAAACAAACTAATCTCTACCTACGTATTGACTAATTTTAGCCGACAGCTACACATTTTACAGTGAAATGTCACCAGTTAAGACCAGATCTTAGATTTTTACTAAATTCCAGCTTCTGTTTTGGTTTCTTTTAGATCACGCTGCCTATTCGAATCTTTAAGCTGCTCGGCGTCGACACAGTGATTCTGACCAACGCCGCCGGTGGCTTGAATCAGGACTTCAAAGTTGGAGACATCATGATCATGAAAGACCACATCAACATGCCCGGGTTCGCTGGCAACAACCCTCTGTCTGGACCCAACGATGAGAGGTAAGATCCTATCTGGAACAGATCTGTCTTCTCCCTGTCTTTACCTGTGTTTAAAGTCTAATGAAGAACGTCCTGATGTGATCCACAGGTTCGGCACCCGCTTCCCCTGCATGTCTGACGCTTACGACAGAGAGCTGCAGCAGCTGGCCATGGAGGTCGGACAGGAACTGGGCTATGGAGACTTTCTTCGCGAGGGTGTCTACTGCGTCCTGAGTGGACCCTCATTCGAGACCATTGCAGAGTGTCGTATGCTGCACCGACTGGGCGCTGATGCTGTTGGTGAGTGTTGTAAAGATGTAGGAAGGTTCTTCCATGGCTTCAACGTTTGAGCCTCACGTTCTGTCTGCCAGTTCTACGTGAACACCAAGTAAATTAGTCCCACAGAGAATCTGATGTGGGCCAAGTTTGACATGGTGGACAAGACTTTATTGTTAGAACTGTCTTTCACTACACGTGGAAGAGGGTTTTTAACTTATTCCTTAACTATAACAACTGTCAGGATGAGTCATCTAAGGACTTCCTTAATTATTGATTATTGTTGGTCCCTATGCCTTAGGCTTCACTGTCTTCCCGTTAGGTGGCACTAGTTTCATATGTTGGGACTAAAAATGTATTCTTTGGGCCAAAGAACTCTTAACAAACAATAAAGACCATATTTATCCCGACACTGTCATTTCCCACTCTCTAGGCATGAGCACGGTGCATGAGGTGATCGTAGCCCGCCACTGCGGCATGCGTGTCTTTGCCCTCTCGCTAATCACCAACCAGGCTGTGATGGACTACGACAGCGAGGAGAAGGCCAACCACGAGGAGGTCCTTCAGACAGGTAAACAGCGGTCCGAGCAGTTGGAGCGGCTGGTTTCCACCTTGGTGACAAGGATCGAGCACAACAACATCTACGCCTAAGACGCCTCAGACGCCTCAGACGCCTCAGACGTACACTATAAAGAGACTTGTATCCACTTTTGATGTCACTGGTTCAGTTGGGCTGCAGACCAAGCTGCACCAGCATCCCCAGGAGAATCTGACTCAAACATCAACTTGGTGACCAGGCCACCATCCAACATGTTTCCAGATGAGGAGGTTTTTGTACTATTTTAAATGAGACACGTCCTCTTGTTCTAACTAAATATCCAATCAGTTTGTGTAAATGTTCCTGATTTAACTTAACCGTGAGCCAAAATCTGCTGTAAAGTTCCCTAAAATTAAGTTGTGTATGTGTGGCGTTTTGCTCGCCTTGTTTTTTAAGCTAAAACCTTGTTACTAAATAAATTATTTATTACTAATGTAATGCATCTGTGTTTCTTGTTTTCTTTTGGAGGAAAGGTTGTGACAGATGGTGCAGAAAGATTTAAAACATTACAGCTTTTATTTCCAAAGTGCAGATTCCAGGTTTACAAAGAAAGTTAAATGGTAAACCAAAGTATGGAGTGATAAATGATCAGGTCCAAAGGATAAAAAAAAAAAAGTTCCCTTGTAAACATCAGGTTACATAATCATCACGCTGCAAAAATCAGACAGCACCACTGGGCAAATTTCTGCTTTGGCAATCCCTTTTACAGAAGAACTGAAGATGCAAATCCCATGCTTTGGCAGAAGAAACATTTTGGCATTGGGACCATTTTCTTCTGGAAAAAAAGGTGAAACATGAAATGTTCACATTCCAAAGCTCCAAGGATATTTTCCAATACATTTTTGTTGTAATACAGCGCTGCTATTTCAGACAAAAAATCAGGCAAAAAAAAAAGAGGAAAGAAAGAACAAACCCAACTGCATACAACGTGAGCGTGCACGTTTCTTGAACCTTGATCCCTGTGAGTAAGCCCAGGCGCTGTACATCCCTTCTTTAAAATCACTACGACATCCACACTTGTGGTTTAGGTTTTAAAAAATTCTATTTTGCAGAAAACAGGCAGCAAAATGTGACATGCATTATTAAAAGCAAGTACCGTAGCATATTAAAGCTAACCAGGATTATTACAATTACCTAAAGGAATAGCCCCCAAATTCACCCCAAACAATTGGCACAGAAGGTAGACAAAGTATGTTTGTAAACTTCTTGTAGTATTACGCACATTCACTCACACTCAGATGAATATAAATCATATTTTTGTTTGCCATGTCTGAACATGACAAGCTTTTATCAGTTCACCGATGGTTTACACAACCCCTAACAGATAGCTCTACTTTATCTACCTTAAAGATAAGTGTAATCTTCACTCCAATAAAAGTGTTGTGTTTAAATTATATAATATTTGAGCAAACAGCTGACGCTATCATTTCAATCATACCTAAACAATAAAGTGGGATGGCTTAGAGCAGCTGTAACAAAAGTACTGTGGCTCATTACAAAAGGAACATGGTTTATGGAGGAGTTAGTCAGAATAATATATATAGGCAGAATAAAACTTGCAGTGAGTTAATGCTAATCTATGTTAGCAAGCCGGGTTGGCTATTGTAAAAACTAATCATCATTTTATACTTTTTGAACAAACTGACATGGATTTTGAGCATGTTTCGACCAATCAGTGTTGAAGTGGGTGGTGTTATTGTAACACTTTTTGATGGTGTCCATTTTAGGGCCGGAGAAATGATTGTATGTAAAGTACACAGTTTGGCATCAAATTAAAATGTTACTATTCAATAAAATTTTGGGGGGATTTTCTCCTTGATAAAATTGCTACAACCAACGGCGTATTGGCACGTTTCCGATGCAGGCACAATAAAAATGGTCTTCAAGTCTTTAGTCTCAGAGAAGAGGAACGAGAAGCCGTAGAGCTAAAAGAAGGCACTTCCGAGACGACAGATCCCGAGGCCTGTGGGCTGCAGTCGGACACGGGGCTTTCAACGGAGTCCACTTGTCTCTAGGCAAACATGGTCAAACTAATCCACTGTGGAACAAAACCAGAAAACAGATCACTACAGGACTAAGATGCTGCAGTAACGTAGGGACTTTGGTTAGTAATGTGTCTGTGACCAAACCTGGAAGAAGTTGAGGGTGATTTCACCGTCCGCATCAGTGTCTAAGGTCTTAAAGGTTTCTTTAGAGATGGGAACAAAGAGAAAGAAAAGTATTTTTAATACTCTTTTGGTTTGCCATGCTGCATAACTGTGACCTACATGTGAAGGACTCACTGAACATGGTCTCCAGTCTGACCAGACATGTGACGAAGTTGTCAAAGTCCACTGCCATGTCCGCCTCCGTATAACGCAGGATGATGAGTTGGAACAGGTGGTTGGTCAACTTGAAACCTTCAAAAAGAATAAAATGGTCCAAAAACTGTAGTAACCCACACCTGGTATTCACAAGTCACCCTCACTATTATTTGTAGTGACGACAAGGCAAAATATTAAGTTTTTGTAAGGAAAAAAGGAACCTGCAGACTCGAGAGCCATCCTCATCTCGTACGAGCTCATGGTTCCTGATTTGTCCAAGTCAAACTGCCTGAATATGGTCTGAAATACAGCATACAGAAACAAACATGAAGAACCAATCACTGCCCAGGTGCTACGACCAGCAGGGTGGGCTCCGTGGTACATTCTGCTCATCTCACCAGATAACGTTTGATCTTCTCCCAGAGAACATGGAATTCTGTCAGTCCCAGTTTTCCACTGCCGTCCGTCTGATTCCCAAAGTTAAGGACAATGACAGTGACAGTGGAGCAAAAACCAACAAAGAAGAAATATTAAACAGTATCTCCTTAAAAGTTGGATACATCCATAAGGTTGATCATGCTGCGACAAGCTTCTTTTGTGAACCCGTCCGTCTTCAGGTCTTTATCTGTGATTTAAAAACATTTAAGAAATATAACAAAGGTCAACACTTTCACAGTTACTTCCTGTCATTTTGAGAGAGCTCTGCAACTGCTCACGTTTGCTGATGATCCTGTTCAGAGAGAGCTCTGCAACTCCTGCTCACGTTTGCTGATGATCCTGTTCAGGATGGTTTGCAGCTCGGTGATGCTGATCTCCATGTCCTGTCAGTGATAAATAAAATAAAAAACTGTCAAATGTTTTCTTAGAGTCTCATTTATTTCCTGCAAGGACAGGAAGGCACTAACCGGCCCTGCCAGTTGCCTGAAGAGATTCTTGAAGGCTGCGTCAATCTGGCTCTCATCCAGCTGAGTCTGAAGTAAATAAAACAAAAAAATCAGAACTCGGTCGTGTTTGTTTCCTTTGATATCATCGCAGAGCGTTCCTTGCATGACCTCACCTCATTTGGAAGCTCTGCTTCAACACTGTCATCTAGCTCCCTGGTTAAAAACAAAACCAAACAGTGCATGTATTTATAAAAAAATCTTTATGCACAAAAACAAAACTCATGTCAACATCTAATTTCCTGAGCTCACACTCACTCAGAGTCGGCCGGCATCTCAGAGAAGACCCTGAGGACAAAGTCAGCCTCTTTGTGTGGCTCGAAGGTGGACGGGACGATGATGTATTCTCCCTGAGGCAGCCGAAGCCGCGAGCTGACCTCCCTAAGATTGATGAAGGTCTCAGAGCGAGCGCTGGAGGCATGGGTGAGGAAAAACTCCCTCTTCAGGTGGACACCGGACCTGCCAACGAACTAAGGTTGCGGTTGGAATTACGGCACAATGCCGAACAATTTGATGCTCAAACGTTGGTTTGAAGTTAAAGTAGTCATACCTCACGTGGAATCTGTGGAAAAGTAACAAAAAAAGTGAAAGGGTGAGACTGTTATCGCAGCAACCACACGGAGCAGATATTCATCAGCCTTTGGTTTCAAAAAATATCTGGGCGACCTCTGACCTCATAGAGGGCAAATCCAATGGTCTCCATGTCTTTGCCTTCCCGCCGTTTCTTCCTGCGGTCCTTCTGCATGAGGCCAACCAGGAAGCTGCAATCTGATTGGCCGGGGGCATCTGGATGCTGCAGAGAGATCTTGAACTGAGGGTTGAGCCAGAAGGTTGCTGTGAAACAAAAGTTGAAACAATGTGACCTTTCAAAAACTGATCCAGAGGTCCACGTTCCTATTTTACCCAGAGGTCAAACTTTCTGAAAACACAGGTTGGAAAGTTAAGCTTCTCCATCTCCCCTCACCTGGGTAGTTCCTGCAGCCTCCTGCTGTGCTGCCTCTCCTCCACTCCCCCTGGTAAAGGGAGGAGCTCCATTTCTTCAGACGGGTGTCGTGCAGCGTGTCGGCCGTCAGGTTGCATATCTCCAGGCGAGAGAACTCTCGCAGGAAGTCGCTGAAGGACATCCTGAGAGACAGGAGTAAAGGAAGACAGGTCTGAGGTTATTTATATTTTCCTCACACTGTGTTAATCATCAGCCTGGTCTTTTGAACACCACTTTGGAAATGTTGTCAAAAAGGATGAATTTACACAATAAGAAGTGGTTTGTCTTATGTTGGATTTTCTGGTGTAACATTTGTATCTTCACTAGACCCTGATGACCACAGTGACCTTAGCTTTGACCTCTGCTGACCAAAGTGGCATGTATATATTGCTGGAACAAAATCACAATTGAATAAAAAGATTCTTTGGAGTAAGTATTCACTTGTTATCATGTATTTGCCTTTTCACATCTGTAAAACCAAAGACGTCGTGTGTACACACCAGAATTCACCGTCCTCGCTTCGGTTCTGCAACCGATCTCTGTTGGAGCGATCGATGTTGTCCCACTCTCTGGAGCTGAAGGTTTCACAAGACACAGAGGTGAAAATCCTTCATGTGATTCATTCACACACATCTACAGACACCTCAACGCTCTCTCTCCCTCCCAGTGTCAAGGTCGCACATTAGAAATCTACAGAACATTCCAATTATGAGCGTGCAGAATTTCCCTCTGCCGTTTCGCATTCCTTCATCAAAGAGACTCAGTGATGTAACACCGCAGCGGTGAAATCGGAGCGTTTTAGAACTGCGGTTACATGAAACAGAGTTCAGGACAATTGAAACTCTTTTATTGAGAACAAAAAAAAAATGCAGGAAAGATGTTCTTTAAACAAACACTGAAACGTTGTCCTTTTATCGACTTCTGTATATGGAGCCATACTTACTTGTCGCTCCAGGCACCGGTCCACTCCACCTCACCCCAGGGGTTCCTGATGCGCACCAGCTTGGTCATATTTCCTCGGTAGACCACCTACAGGTGCCGCAAAACAAAACAAGCATCAGAACAGAGCGGTGGAAGAACATGCTCCAAACTCCAAAATAAAAGTCCCTGCCAGTGCGGAGTAGAGTGAAGTCAAATTTCATGGTTCTGTGTGTTTATTTCTTTTTTCCATGTTGCTGTGCAGCATAGACAGTTTGGTTTTGGAAGAGAAATTCTTCAATAGATTGACAAACAATCCTGTAATTACTGAAAAACTGCTCTGTAATTGGTCAACGTTTCCCTTCATGTCAGTAGTTAGTAGCCATTTTTGTAAACCTTTTTTCCTCACCTCGTCCACAGCAGTCACAGAGTAGGCGTGTCCCTTCACCAGCTTCTTGAACGTCACGGCCTCCATGTCTCGTGAGCTGGTGATCTGAGAAGCGTAAGGCGAGACAGAGATCACTGATGTCCAACATCTTAATTCACAAACTGAGAAAAAGAACCAAGAGCGAGCTGTGCATGTGACGGTAGGAGTGACATCTGCTGACAGAGTAACACCACTGTGAAAGTCATGGCCAACATGGTGCACTGCACAGGGGGCACGCCATTTTGAGTGTTTAGTGAGTGAAGTTGTCCACTATATAGGACACTCAAAGTATCCCACAATGGACCACAAGGTGTAGTATACATCTGAGTACACTATACAGCGCGGTATATATAAACACCTATATATAATTCTATAACTGATATAGGGAGTAGGGAACGAGTGAGTGATTTGGGAAACAGGACATCTTAATATGTCAACATAGCCAATTAGCATAGAGTTCTTCATTCTCCTCTTTGGCAATTTATTTGACAGCATATTCTATGTTCTGGTTGATCATACTAACCCTGTGTGTTAGCTAAGAAAATTAGCATAATTTTTGAAATTCTGCTATGCTCCCATTTAATACAGCTTACTGATTCCATTGTTTGTGCTAAGCTAGTTTAACTAGCCACTTCTTTTTTGGCTTTCTATTTGACAGCACATATGGGAACATATAAACTTTAGTTTTACGTTAAATTATTAATTTGCTCTTAAAAAAGTACCTTTTCCTCAATAATATTATGTCTTGCTTCAAATGTATTGGTCTATTGGCAAGCGGTATGAACTTCGTTAGCCCGTAAAAATCCATAAATTAACCGCGTCATTGTTTAAGCCACAGGGTTCAAAGCGTGTGAAAAAAGTAGTGGCCTTAAAGTCCGGAAATTACAGTATTTCCTATTGGTTTTAGCTATGTTTGAAGTTCGTGATAAATTAAAGCTGAACAAAGCGACAACAAAAAATTTAGGTCTGTGCTAAATTCGTGTGAAATTTTCATTTTTGTGTCAGTACTGACGTCAATGGAGCAGCCCAGCAGTGACCCTCTTTCTATGGCCCTCCTGATGATGCTGTACAGGTCAGAGGGAGCCTTGCCGAGTTCGTACATCTCCGTCACACCACCAGTGAAGTCCTCAAAGCCCTCAGACGTGCTGCCCCCTGACAGAGCCTCATAACAGCCGTTGAGTCTAAAAGACAACCAACAGGATGAGAACCTCTTCACTCTGCACTTCACATCTCTAAATGGGACAAGTCTTACTTGGCGTAGGCCTTCTCCAGCAGTGCACTCCAGAACTCGGTCCCCTCCACCGAGTGCACAAACAGCAGCTTCCCGTCTTTGACTGGCAGCCGGTCATCGATCACCACCTCCACCCACTCACCAAACTGCCAGAACTGCAGCAGAACCAACGTTAGCGCTGCAAGGCTGAATCAGCACATGTTGTATACACATTTGCAGGTTGATTACAACGCAGTATAGGTCATGTCATGGAGTTGGTCTTTTGTCATTTGTCTCCCCCTACTGGTTTCACTGTGTTAGTGTTTGGACCATCCTCAGTTTTCAGGAGGCTGGTTGGTGCTTCTCTTTGTAACGAGCTGATCACTGACTTTTTGACACTGAGTCACTTCGAGCCATTTCATGCCACGAGTCTAATCAAGGCTCTAAGTCAAGTCTCCAAATTAATTAATCAAATCGAATCAAAGTTCCGCTCCGTTTTGTCGATGTTAACTCTTCGAATCAAAGTTCCGCTCCGTTTTGTCTGTGGAACAAATTAGCGCCAAATACGAATAACAAAAAAATGTTGATAAAGTAAACATCCATTTCACATTATAAACTATATATGATTTATAACCTTATAACCGTGAACCATTTCTACAAAGGGTGGTTGCTCGTATCGAGGACACTGGCCAGCAGGGTGCAGTGTAGGCCAACTCCCCAGGAGTAGTGTGATGTTGCAGCATTTGACAAAATTCCATAAACATGTGTTCAAGGAAGAAGTCGACTCGGTCTGTACTGTCTCATATTCATTCTTCCTCAGGTGTATTTTAAAGGTATTTCTAGTGTAGTTTATTCAAATGTCGACTTCATTTGGACTTTTGGATTCATGCAAAGGTACATTTGGAGGCTGCTTTGCATGTTGTATTTTGTGTCCACACGACACCAAAAAAAAAAAAAAAAAATGGGAGGAAAACAACATGGTGGACGGAGTTCATTCCACCACTGGGAGGAGCTGTGTCGCAACCTGACAGATAAGACTGACGACAGCAACACAAACACAGACACAAAACACTGCTGTAGCCCGTGGCAGTGACAGAAACCCACACAACCTCATTTCACTCAGTGAGACCAACAGCTGCTCTGACTCCAAGTCTCAGCTCCACTCTGGTGAATGAAGTTCAAACACATCTGTGTCCACTAACACACTTGAACACACCATCACTGTGTAAAGCACAGTACAAGCCAGAACCTCCTCCTCCTCCTCCTCCTCCTCCTCCTCCTTTCTACACCTCATGCCTTCCATTGCCTGGTCTCTTCTTCCTCTCTCACTCCTCGGATCCACGGAGATTTCCCCCGTCAGTGCTCATAATTACATTTTGCCTGACTCACGCAGGTCTGGGTAATTTACACAGAGGCTCACGGGATCCAAACACATAAAAGGAAAACCCCTGCAGGACTGTGCAGTGTGTCAAAGTAAAAACCAGGAATATACTGTGTTGTACATTAGGGAGGGTAGACTTTGTACTCCTGCACTGATCTATTGAGCTTTGTTTGATGAGTCATTGGAATTAAATGACTTGTCAAACAGCATTTGCAAGTCAAATAACAGAGGTATACATGCAGAAACAATAACAACAAGAAAAGAGTTGCTACAGTCTCCTTTAGTGCAGCTGTGCAGTCACCTGACTCATGCACACTGGTGGTTATACTACTGCAGTTAGATTGGTAATCTAACAATCAATCAGTTAGATTGATTGTTAATAAAATAACACATTTAAACATTTTCCATTGACCATTACTCATGGTTATCTTTAAAAAAACAACATACTGTTCCACAAACATAACAGAAAACAAAAACGTTTTCTAAAACAGCACAAAATGGAGCAAATGTGGCTGAAGGTTTAACAGATGAGTGGCAGTTACTCCATAGGAAGTAGAAGTCAGCTTAAAGAAACCAGGGTAAAGCTTTGTGACGTTAACAGCCGTGTGTTTACAATATTTACGATCCTTTAACTGTAATGCACGGCGATTAAATTAAATATGTGCCTGCACGAACCAGGGAAGGAAACTGAACTGACATTTCCACCCAAGGAAGCAGACAGGGAGTGTGTCTGTGGGTGTGTGTGTGTTGTTGTGCAAATGTGTTTGTGTGTAGAGAAACAAAGACACAAGAAGTCTCTCAGAAAATTAAAAAAAAACCAGACTCTGTAAGTGTGTGTTTGTATAAACAGACTTTGTGTAGGCAGAAAATAAAGGCATGTAGGACATGTCTGGAAAACATTTGTGAAAAACAGACACCTGCTGAGATCCCCAGGCACATCTGTGTCTGTGTGTCTGTGTCTGTGTGTCATTTATTTATTTATTTATTTATTAGCTCTGCAGAAACACTGACAATCACATGTCTCAACAGTCCTAGTTATGCACACATGCATACTCATGCGCACACTCGGGTGCCCTGCACGTGAATGCGTGTAAAGCATGTAGCAGCTGCCAAATGACCATAAGTGTGGGTTGCGTACAGCTGCCAACTGCTCATTTTCATGACTGACTAAAGAACGTGGCTGCCAGGAGTGAAGAGAAGAGTGTCTTTTCTTCCATCTCTTTTATCAACACTTGGCTCACTGACAGTCTCATCTCTGAAGTACTCAGCCGTGTCTGAGACAGCGTTGCTGACTCAGCTCATCAGGGACAGAGCAGGTAAAAAAATGACAGTGATACAAGAGTCTGTGCAGTCAGAATGAATCTGATTCTGTCTCATATTTGTGCAGCACTTTGACGGGTCACAATAGACAGACAGCATGTTCACGTCATGGTCAGTTCTGGATCTCAGCCAAGTGTTCCTGTCTTCTATTCCGCAGCTGAATTACTCACACTGACTTCTAGTTAACTTTCACCATCTCAGTGTCAAAACTATGAAGTTGGGAAAGTGGGCCACCTGTGGGGGCATGGGGTTATTGCATGCCCCCACAGTTTTATTATATAGTTTTATTTAGTATATTTGGATACATTTTCACAACTATTAAATATATTTTAATATTTTTACTCCTGTGGAAAAAAATCCCTGATTTCAAATTGTATTTTTTGGTGTGAATATCAGTTTTTATTACAGTGATTACAGTGTTCTAAGTTCAGCAGAGTTTTGAAGTAACAGCTGTGAAAGTGTGTCAGTACATCACCACAGACTTCCTGTGGTGATGTACTG